TATATACAATGCATACTATTTATACATATATACACTGAGGGAAATAATGCATAGTAGAAATGAATGCTTTATATATGATTATCGTTTAAAAATGTTCGTATTTAAAAATACGTACTTTGACTGTTCACCGCCGAGTATGTATTGTATATGTAAGTGTACGCTTCCCAAGCATGTAGAGTGCGCTGCAGAAAAAATTAACAATTGATCAAAAATAACCTTCTATAAAATATATAACTTTGAGGACAAATAAAAATAAGGATCAAAATTTTTTATTATCATTTTCAAGTTATGTCTGACGGATTTCGAAAATGGGACCACCTACAGCAGAATATGGAATCAAATATGAAATGTAATAAAATAAAGTAAAAAAAAAATAAATAAAAAAGAAAAAAAAAATGTTTTGTTTTTCCTATTGATATTTTATGTTCAAAAGTAGTTAGCATGATAAAAATATAGTAAGGTAGAACCGCTGAGAGTCACTTTTAAAATTCTTGACGTTTCCAAACAATTTAATTTTTAAATTTACTCACAAACTCACACACACATTTTCATTTTCAATCTCAAGCAACAACAATTTCGAACAATTTGAATTTTTTATTTTCACTTTTATATGATTTTAAAATGTTGGCAAACTTCAAAAAAAAATCATGGCCGACAAATTGAGAGAACGGTTCTACCTTGCTATGTTTTTATCATGGTAGTTAGTTACAAGTAAGTTACATCAAATGCAGAGGTAACCACCCTTGACTACATCATCTAATGCACCCAGGTAAGCCACCCTTGACTATTTCGCGGCCATCGCCATAGAAATATAGTTAGCTTTCGTCAAAGAAAATATACAGATAATAACAGACTTATAGCTCCTTAATAATCAACTTAAAGTTAGATTATAGTTAGATACATTTCCTGCAGGGTACGCACCCCAAGCATGCAGAGTGGCGACAACACACACATACATACATAGTACATGTATTCCCGTACAAATCGTGTACTGTGGTGTTGATGGAAATTCAACATTTGAAAGCAAATTTATGTCTGGGCGTAGCTGAGTGCGCAAAGATACTTGCCACAATTTGTTGAAATCCTCAGATGGTCAGGGTTCGAATTCCACTGCAGTTAACATGGCCTATTAAATATTTTTTTTTAGTTTTTGTCCTAATTTTTTTTCCCTCAGTGTACATATGGATGTATGATGTGTCGCGTGATGTTTACGTGGGCGGGTAGTATATTTAGCATTTTGCATATAATTTGTTCGTAATTTCCAGAGAATAATATGTAGTTAACCAGTACAAAAAGGGTAAATAAACGTACAATCAGCTCAATGCCCAGCGGTGTATATCCTATATCCTGCAGTCAAGCGGGTAACTATGGCCTATTTAAATTGTAGCGACAATTACTAAAGAAGTTATCATTAGTAACGTTGTCGTGCGTGCACTGATTGTTGACAATTTTTCATTTTCCACTCCTTCTTTCGCACTCGTCTCTTTGCATAAATGGTGTCCTGCGGTGCGCTTTAACGCGCCAGCATCGCCAGAGCGACAAATTGACAATTAAACACCGTTATTGCGAAATAATGTTGGCTAAAAGAACACGCCTACTGTTGTTGCAACTGGATTGCTGTATTGGCTGCTGATTGATCCCTTTGGCATAGCGTAAATGATGCGCTGTCATTCAGTTCAGTCGTAGTAGTGCACTTTGACTGCTTGCCACCTTCCTCATTTGATTTCAGTGGTTACTATAAAATGTTGCTGTTTTCAGCTGGCGGATAGCAGTTTTAATCGGTGGCTGGGCAGAGTCTGTGCCGATATTTGGAATTCCGTTGGACAGAAAACATATCTTCTGACTTGAAATGCTTCAAAGGAATACATTGCGTTAAATTATTAAAAAAAAATATAAATTGCAAAAATTTCATTCGAAATGGGCAACGCACGGATTGCAACCTTGCTATTCTGCGCTTTCACCTATTACGTGCTGTGTAGTTGTAAATTTTCAGGCCAAAATCAGGTAAGCATTGGCTCCGCCAGTTTTTGCAGTGCAGAAAAACCAAACTGAGGCAAAACGTAAAAGAGAGTGAAAATTATTGAATATGTTTTCTGAAAGTCTCAGGACATCGACAGCAAATTTTTAATATCGATAATGGTGTTGAATCTGCGCTTACCGACAGGGTTATGAATTTAGCTATAGTTTTGGGCAGGAAATAATCTTGAAAGTCAAATATTGAAAATCGCTACAGTGTAAAAGCAGGTAGAGAAACTCGAACGGGACTCAGTGATCGGACTTAAAAAAATGGTTTGTGTGGTAGAATCTGGAAAAATGTGGTAGATTTTAAACAAATGTGGTAGATCTCAGGTTTTGGATTAAATTTGAACAAAAATTAAAAAAAAATTCTGCAAGGTTTCACCTAAATTGCAAACATTTTAATTAGAATCTAAAAAAAAATTATTTTAGTATAAATAATAAAGTGCAAGTAGCTAAAAATTGCGTTTAGTTTTGGCATTTTTTTCCCCACTAGTGTACTTTCTTCTTCCTTATTGGGGCTGTAACTGTCTTATCGATTTTGGCCGAGTTCAAAACAGCACGCCAGTCGTGTCTCTTCTTTGCCAACTGATGTCAATTGGAAATGTCAAGTGAAGCCAAGTCCTCCTCCACCTACCTGGACTTTTCAACACAGAGGAGGCCTTCCTTTTCATTTGTTATCAGCATCGCGACCCGCGTTGAATGTTTTCAGAGCTGGAGCGATTCTGTGGATGTGAATTCCCATCCCAGTCGGCTCTTGACGGGAAAATAACTCCAAGTGACGTGTGAACTCTTATTGCAGGCCGTGTATAAGCGGGAAATGGTCTCATTTTGGACGACCATCGAGAAATTATACTGCTATGAACCAGTTTTCTGAGCCTTAATAATAGATAATTAATAGAGGTATGCACTGCGACCCAGAGGTCTATTGTGCCCTCAACTATTTACAGTACCCCATGTAATCCTAGAGCACCCAGAAAATTTGAGGAGATTCACAGGGATTAGCTATTGTATCAATTTGTCACTTGGCCAGAATGAGCCTAGGTTCCTCTCCCATTTTCTCGCGACCGCCTCGCACTCGTGGAGAGTCTCACGAGTGATATTGGAGTAACATACGTACAATTGGAAAATTTCTTCTGTATCTCTGTTAGCTGTTATGTAAGCAGGTTAGTGACATAACCAAGCAAGTTGTAGCTAAGACTGAGTTTCTCCACAAGGATTTCAGAGAAATAGTTGATGTGGCTACCATTGGTGGCAATTTTCTAAGCATGGGAAGCTGGCTTTATTTATGTGTTTCTGGAAATTAAACCGGTATCACTTTTGAGCTAAATAAATCTAGCCCTAGGATAGATGGACAAAATTTGCACATATTCTCTTGATTATCTTTTCTGTCTAGCCTCGGCCGCATATACTCTCTGTTGCGCTGTTAAGAGTGAGTGCAGCTCATAGGCATTTTGTCAAGCGGGGTTATTTCAAAGGGACTTAAGATAGTTGCGCAAATCAATGTGGTTTTTATGTCAATATAAATATTTTTTCGTTCCATTACATATTTAGTTGTTCCATTTTCCAATTATTTTTTTTCAGTTCCCCGATTCCTCGAACTATTTTCGCCGTTCTCTTACCGCTCTTCGCCGTCAGCAACATTCCGGCTTCCCTATGGATGATACCCGCAGCACCGTTCTGTTGCCTCAGAAACGCTCTAAACAGTTTGAAAACTTTGTGGAGTTGCCCAGCACCGAAGTGTATGAAGCACCCCATCCTGGCTTTGATCGCATACCCTACAACGAGTACAATCGCATAGTGAGCGCATTAAAAGGTTCTCGACGCGTATTTTATTCGTTAGCTTGGTGCATATTTTATTAACTCGTTTGCAATTTTTTTTCGCTCTTCTTTGTTTTTTGTTTTGTTATCATTGCAGAGATGCTGCGTGCGCGCGAAGAAAAACCCATTACATTGCGTCCGCGCCCTGGGCGTCGTTCAACGGGCGCTGATTATCCGCTGTGGCACTATCTTCTGAACGATGCTGGTGATATGGGCTTGAATGCGGACGATAACGCTGCTCTGGTGGGCGAGGCAGCTGATGCATTGACGGATGCGACGCTGAAAAAATCCGCGCCATTCAAACCACGTCTCGGAAAACGTTGCGGAAGTCGAATATGCGAGTGAATTCCCAATGGTGTTTCATAGGCGATTGGTGTAGGTTATTGGGGGTATGGGGTGTGGGGTGTTGGGTGTTGAGTTGGCTGTGTTGTTAGTGCGTGGCAGGTGTATGTGTGTATTTGCGGCGCCAGAAAATATGTTTATAATTGCATAAGATAACTGCATACATACATACATACATACATACATATGTCCGTATGTACAAATGTGTTTCGTTGTTGTTGTTTTGCGTGTTGCGTGTTGCGGTTGGGAGGCTGCGCGATTGCGCATGTTTGCACAGCTCGAATGTTTTTACTCGGTGCCAATGATAAAAGCGACCATTTTTGAGGCAATTAAAATTAAAATCAAGCGAAAACTAAAACATAAACCTAAATGAAATGGCCTTTGCTATTCGCTCCAATTATTGAAACGAAAACATTAAAAAAAAATTATTGAAAATATGCAATTTTACTGTTGTTGTGCTATGTTGTTTAATGTTAGCACATTTGGTTTGTTTGTGGTTGATTAAAATAATTCGTATTTACGTATTTTAATAAAATTGTTTGTCAAAGTGTGGTATAAGTTTATAAATAGCGGAACAATTATTTTATAGTCAGATATTCAAACTCAGAATAAAACCAAACAGATATTAAAATGTAGATATTTTCTACATTTATATGTATAAGAGCGGGTTTAGCATTGAAAAAATTTATATTTAAAATATTGTTTGTATATGTATTAATGATGATAAATTAAATAAACTATTTACATTAACTGCGCCATCAGTCGCTAAAAAATCACTACACGCAATTTAATTTATGTTGACCAAAAGAGCAACGGTCGATTGAGGCTTTGGGAGAGGAGCTGCTACTTTGAGATAACCTGCCAGAAAAAATCTAGCCAAGTCAAATCTGCGAAAGACAAACATATTCAAATCGTTCATGCGAAATGTGTAAAATTTTAGGTCACAGAGACGTCACGAAAACAACATCGCACAGTGGTCAAAAATGGAATTGAATGCTTACAATTCACTGGAGCCTTCATTGCTCAACCAAATTAATTATTATTTTTTTTTTTTTTAAATGGCAGATTATAAAATTGGCAAGGAACTAGGTGAGCCCGATTTATGATTTTTTATTTGTTTATTTTAAATTTTTTAGTGCAAAGTGCAGAAAGAGAGTCAATTTCGAAGAAAATCGATTCTCCTGTTCCAGTTAATAAATGTTACATAAAAAAAAACTAGTTTAAAACAACTCTTGGGTTCCTCCAAAATGAAAAAACCAATCACAAGAAAAATTTGAAATGTTTTAAAAAAAATTTTCACCACAACAAAAAAATTGAGAGTTCGCGTTGATTTTTAATCATATTTTTTTCGACAACATTTCGATTAAAAACGGATTTTTCAAAACATTTTGTCAGGAGACAGCAAAACTATATGTTAATTTTTATCCGTGGTTTTATATGCCATCAACAGTGCACAAGATCCTGTTACATGGAGGTGAAGTCATGGAAGAGTCTCTTTTTCCAATTGGACAATATTCGGAAGAGGCTGCTGAGGCTCGAAATAAAGACGTTAAACAATATGGAAAAGATGACAGATTTAATGCATAAACTGCTTGAGCCATCTGATTGGTGAACATTTTTCTAAAACATTCTAAGTTTTCTTGCGAATTTTTTGTGTGCTCATTGTTCACAGAAAACTTTAGAAACCCGCAGTAGAAAGGTTAAGAAAATTTTTGTCTAATAAATTTTTATTTGGAATTTCTTAAGTTTCTTATATGCAGTTTTGAAAGCTTCTGAGTTCTACAAAAAGGATTGCTATAGTTACGGTTTGCCTTCAAATCTATTGCTGCGAGTTTTAAAGTGATGCGAAAAATTCTTATCACTCACATTAATTAAACACAAAACTTGAACCGCAAAATCGCAAAGCTTTTTACGCCAAATTTTAAATTCAGAAACTTACAATCAAACTACCAAGCAAGCGGCGCTTCAAATTTCAGGCATAAATAAAATAATTGCTAAATGAGCATTTCCTGCTGCTTAAATGAGTTTATCAACGACTGTGGGTTGAAAGCTAGATAAGCAAAAGAGACACAATGCTCTTTTATAAGAAGTAATTTTATTGAGTGGCATGGGAGCGATAAATTTACTTGAATAGAGTTTTTTTTTGTTTTACTTACAAAAAAAGAAATCAAATTTGATTGCTGGAAGGAAGGAATTGCGTGCGGAGGAAGGTGGAAATTTTATTCCTGAGTGAGATGTTTTTGCGAACGCAGTCTTAAAAACACTGTTTTTTTATGTCGGAACCAGACACGAAACAACGCGTGCAGAAAACAGCACTCAGACTACATCCCGTCCTTGATTTATGAGTAAACCTAATCAGACTTTTGGGTGTCAAAGAGCTCAAGTGTTCATCTCTACGACATCGCGGCCAAATGCCTCATACCTAATTCTTTCAAAAGCGGGGAAGAAGAACAAAAAGTGTTCCACTGTCTCATCGCATTCAAGGCAGGATGGGCAAATGGAGTTGTCATTAACGCCTATCACGGCCAGGTATTTGTGCCACGTGAAGTGACCAATCAGCAGCCCAACAAGTGGTATGCAGGTTCAACTGCCCACCTGCAGCCCCTCGATGCCTCCCAATGATTGCTTAGCAGGCTCAGTGGTGGAATTAAACCAGCATTCAGGGAACTCAACATTATAAAAACTGTTCAAGAAAGGTAATGGTGGCGTACTATCCTGTGGCATTGAAAAGACCCATCGGCTTAGATCTCTGCCGCCGGAAATTTCCGCCTCGCCCCACTCAGTGTTATATAAACATTCGTTTATTTTTAGACTGCAGGTGGCCTTTTAGGCTTTCCCACGTATGAAAACACAAAGTGACGGTAAGTGCAGCAGCAGTGCGTCAAGAGCACTACTCAAGAAAATTTAGGGAGGTTTTAAAAATACGGAATAAAAGCTAAATAAAGGGGCTATCCGATCATATGCTGGCCTAAATAAAACAGTTTTTTTCAATCCCGTGGAACAAAAAAAGGCAAAAAATTGGCAATACAGCCAACATATAGAGCTGGTGGCCGCTGTATAGTTCATTAAAGTTGTTCGGCGATATACAGACTATGTATAAGGGTTACCAACTGTTCATCTGACGCGAATGATTTAAATGAGTTATTTAAAATTCAGTTAGTTTGAGTTATCACGAAAAAGCAAAAATAGAAATCCATATACATTCATACCTATGTACATATGTACATAGGTATATTACATATTCGAACTACATAGTGTCTATGCAATAAAAAAAAGAACAACACAGCTGAGGTGAGAGAGAATTAATGACATCAGAAGCGGAAGGGTGACTGTCACCCACGCAGAATTTGCAAGCATTTAAAAGGCTGCTATGCATTCAAGCGGTGCTTACCTTTAAAAGCGATGCCCAATCAAGGATGGCCGGAGCAACACGGTTGCCAGATGGGTCAGGTAAGCGAAAAAAGGAATATGGAATAAACGAAAGGTAAATAGGAAAAAAGGGGAAATGCTCTAGGTATGTTCAAATGTATATACATAAAAGCTAAAGTGAGAGCTATTAAATGTATGAAAAGCTCGGCCGCGGCGGAGGGACACACCCCGTTCTTGTATGGCTACCCACCTCTACTTCATAGTTAACTATATTAGCGCTTGCATGTGAATGTGTGGCACTGATGAATAATAGGAACTAAGCCATTTAGGATAAATTGATTGATGTATTGTGCGTGGGTAGTTAGCAATGAAAAAGTGTTGATTGCAAAGAATTCTTTGCTACTAATTGTGCGGCAAAGCTTAGCAGGCCAACACTGGATACAAGTAGGCGTTAAGTGTGTGTACAAAACGGAACTACATAGTTAAGCTCTCCGCTGATTCGAAACTAATAAAGTTGTTCTTTGTAATCTTGCCGAGGCAAAGTAGTAAGGGTAAAACTCCACAACCAGCTTTTCAGGCATTCAATGCTTTTCAGGCTTCTAGCGTTCTATTGAGCAATAATTTAGTAATTTAATTAAATTATGAAATATTAAAATATGGCTGCCAGACGGTCCGCTTGGCGAAGAGAAGGTGCATAGCTATAGAATAAAGTGGGTTGCCACCTGTGTGAAAAGTCGTATTAAATTAAATTATACAGAAGCCATATAAAGTACTAAAATATGGGTGTAAAACGTAAAAGTTTAAAGTGGGATGCCACCTGTTGGAAAGGTTTAATTAAATTAAAAATTATGCACAAATTATATGAAGTATTAAATTTTGAGTATGAAACGAAACAGTATTAAGAAATATTCAATTCAAACATTAAGAATATTTTTAAAATGCTAAATTCGAATGATGTAAGGAGCTAAGTGAAATATTGCAATATGGGTATCAATCGAAATGATTTGAAAAGGGCTGCATTTTAGACTGAATGTGCATGCCTTGCCACGTGTTCAGAAAGCGCACTGCTAACCATTACATCATAGTGACCACAATATTTGTGTCAGGCGAAACAGGTTTAAGAAGGCTGTAGTTGCAAAATATATTTAGGGGGGTTTCCCCCTCTTTGAAAAGTTGAGTTTAATTGAATTGAATATTTTAATACTGGGCATCAAACATTAGGCTAGTTTGAATATATTATACCTATTGGAAATCCGCCATAGAAGCCTCAGTGAAAACATTTTAAGGCAATTACGTGCAACCGATCCAATTCAAGAATGTTCGGATTAAGCAAAAAAGCATATGGCAAAATCATACAACGTGTAACCAAATGAAAAAAAATATTGCTTATCCGCTAATAAACTTAGAAAAAAATGAGAGTTTCAAATGTTGTACAAAATTATAAAAATCCCAAATTCTTCACTGAAATTTAAACATTTTTGTTCAGAATGTTTAGAAAAATGGTAGGTATGCAGTTTTATAGCCCATTAAATTTAACAAAAAATACTACTGATTTTTGATATTTTTTTTTTTCTGAAGGTTTGTATATTTTCTCCATATGAATTATGCTCAAAAATTGCGCAAGACCGATGAAC